AGATTCTGGGGGCGCCTGGGTGGCGCAGTCGGTTAAGTGTCCGACTTCAGCCAGGTCACGATCTCGCGGTCTGCGAGTTCGAGCCCTGCGTCGGGCTCTGGCCTGATGGCTCAGAGCCTGGAGCCTGTTTCCAATTCTGTGTCTCCCTCTCTCTCTGCCCCTCCCCCGTTCATGCTCTGTCTCTCTCTGTCCCAAAAATAAATAAACGTTGAAAAAAAAAATTAAAAAAAAAAAAAAAAAAAAAGAATCAGATTCTGAGCTAAAGGGGTATAATGGAAAACGTACGTTCAATCTGAGAAGCCTTTATGGGAAGTAAGCATGAAAGGAAAATGTGATCATTTTTAGATATATGTTATTTGCCATGGATGTTAAATTTTGTTGCATTGAAGATTAAAGGATTTGGGGAAATGTTGAATGGGGCCGTGATTAGAACAGAAATACATAGATGGAGATGCACACATAGAAATAAGTTGTTTTTCTGTTTCCAAGCTATGGAAGTCTCTTCACAGATAAACACGGGGTCTGTGCGTTATAGTACTTTTGTTTGCTGTTACTGTAGTTTGGTTGACTTCCCTGTCAAAATAATATTCTTTAGTAAATTAAACCGGCACACTTCTGATTTTTCTCCAATATTTGTCTATACCATACATAGAGCATTTATCCAGAAAACTATAATTTATTGCAAATGTCTATATTTAGGGTCAAGTTTATTTTAGCATTTGTAACATTATTAGTCACGTATTCTGTAGTCCAATACTGATTAAGAGGTTTTTTTATTTAGCCTATGGGCTTTTAATAAATATCAATCTCTGCGTAGCCTAAAGCATTGGCTAAAAGAATTTTCATGTTGAAAGGTCAGGTGTAGAGGAAAAGCGGTAAGGATAAATTAATGAGGAAAGCTGGAAGCCTGAGGATGGACAGCAATGTCTGCAGAGTCAGACAGGCTCAGGTTCAAGTCTGGGCTAGCATATACCAGCCTTGTGAACCTAGCCAAGACACTTGACTTTTCTAATTTCTTAGGGTGTTGTGATCCTTAAGAGAGAAAATACAAGCAACAGGCTTCCTATAGTGCCTCATACACCATGAACACTCAATACATATTAGCAATTAATAACAATAAAATATCATTTCTGAATTATTCTCTTAAAAAGACACATCTGTAGAAATTGTCTTCTCCATTTTGGTAATTTACCATTTTCTAAACTTGAATTAAAATACTATACACCACGTATTGTCTTCAAAACATTCATTGCTTTTGCACCAGTTAGAATTAAATTAATATCTCTGGGGCATTTAACATGCATGTGGCCTGATGAAGAGTCTACTGTTTGGAACATTTCTAGCATATTTACTCTAGTATTCATGGTTCTTATGTTAAAAAAAGAAAGCTTCCTTATTATCCCAATATTCCTTTTCCATTTCCATAATGAATATGTGACAAATTGCAATTCCTTTTTATAACATATTCTATACCATTTATGCTACATGTTTTGGCAGTAACAAACTAATAAATGAGAACAACAGAGTATAATGGTCTGTGGAGTTAGTGATGGGTCTAGTAAAGGCAACATTAAGATTCCTCTTTTTTCTGTCATCAAATCTATTTGATTTCTCTTCTATATTTATTGATCTGATGACTTCCATCACTCTCAGGAAAAAATTCAATCTCTTTTCGTGGCCTATAAGGCTTGCTCTTGGCTCTTCTCCCAAAGGTGTTTTCATCAGATCTGTTTGATTTCTCCCTTGCATTTATACATGCTTAAACCCATTCAACAATTACTTATCTACCACTTACTATATGCAAGGCTCTTAGCTACATAGCTTCAGCTGCTTCACTTCCTCCTCATATTGTGTAATTCTTGCTGATTTCCAATGGAAGGAATTTTAATTATTAGTCCTAATCAGGTTCACCTATGACTTAAATGTCTTTGCAGACTGCTGGATCTCTCTCTCTCTCTCTCTCTCTTTCTCTCTCTCTCTCTCTCTCTCTCTTTATCTTGCAAACCATTGGAGCTATATATATATATATATATATATATGTAGATATCTATCTGTATCTATACATCTTACAGTTTGTAATTTATCCTAGGGCAAAGGACCATACCTGTTACATGTTCAAATCCAGCACCTAATATCAAGTTAGCAAAACAATAAATAGGTTTAAACTTAACTAAATCAAGTTAATTTGCTTGAAGTTCCAAGGAATTAGGTGTTTATATTGAGAAAGGACATATCAAAATAGTTTTATTTTTTTTTAACGTTTATTTATTTTTGAGAGACAGAGACAGACTGTGAGTGGGGGAGGGGCAGAGAGAGAGAGGGAGACACAGACTCCAAAGCAGGCTCCAGGCTCTGACCTGTCAGCACAGAGCCCCACGCAGGGCTCGACCTCACGAACTGCAAGATCATGACTTGAGCCGAAGTCAGGCGCTCAACCGACTGAGCCACCCAGGCGCCCCCAAAATAGTTTTAGATATTTAAAAACTTATATACTTCTTAGATAAAGAAAAGAGGTGTATTATATCAAATGTGTTTATACACTCGAACTAACTCGAATATTTTGAATGTGGCAATATGCTAAATTCTTTACAATTATCATGACAGTTATTTCTTCTTTCACTTAAAACACAAGAGCTGTTAATCCCTCCTATAGTAATGTTTTTTATTTTACCTATTGCTTCTTTTGCAAATTGACACAATTCTAAGAACTTAATTTAGAAGGAAATAAAAATAAATGAGAAGAGAGAGAAATCTACTAACAGGAAAATAAAAATAATATTAAGAAATCAAAACATGATTTTATATGGGATAGAAAGATAAAAGCTGATTAAACAAGAGGAGGGACAAAAATCCAAATCATGTACATTAAAAACAATACTTAAGTATGAATGATTAAGAAAAAGTAGAGAACTATAATGAGAAAATAAGAAAATATTTGATGCAGTATATGTTTTAATAATATATATTTTAATAATTACATATTTATATATACTACATACAATATAATATAAAATACAAAAATACTATTTATATCAAGGAATAGACTAGAGAATGTCACTGAAGAAACTGGGTCCTACCCATCTGATGGCCCTTCTGAGGGGAGACAAGTTTTTCAGATCAGTTTATCCTCAAAAAATAAAATCTCAAAGCAGGAAGCTGTCTTAAATATTAACCAACCCTTTCTTTTATCTGATTCTTGATTCTTTTTCACATCAGTTGACTGTCATTTGGGAAACGATTTTATGATCTTTTTCACGGTCATTTACTAAGAGTGAAACATGTCTCACTCACTGCAGACTGAATCTAGTTCCCATCATGGCAATAAAACCGACCTTTCCAACATTCCCACAAGCTCAGGTGATAAATCTCATTTTATTTGATTTCATTAATTTCCTTGAAACACCCTTTATTGGTAACTCTTGTTGACTTCATTTTCCCTCCTACATAGAAGATTAGGTCACCTAATCTTAGGCCCTCTCCTTGAATGCTTACTCAACTTCAGAATTCTATCCCGAGTGCTCCTTTTGTATAACTGGGGGACCTCCTTCACCGTCATAGCTACAATACCCATCTATATGCTGATCCAAAGCCTCAACTCAGAGAGATATCCTGAGCTGCCAACCTCCACCTCCAAATATTACTAAACATTTTTACATAGAAGTTTCAAGAATATCAAATTTTCCTGTCTCTTCTGCTTTTCTTCTTTAGCTTAGTGAAAGCTTCCACAATCTACCTACTACAATTGCCTAGTATGTTGAACTATCAACCTGAATGCTTTCCGTATTACTCATTCTCTGCCTTTCTTACTTCTAACGATTTACAAAGTCTTGATGACTACTTCCAAAGTGTTTCACAGATTTTTTTCTTGCTTTTTTTTTTTTTGGTACCATTTTCCTCATGTAGAACATCATCTTTTTCATACGCTTTTATTTTAGTCTCCTGATGTTCCTGTCTCCAACTTTGCCTTCTGATAATCTATTTTCCATTTTACAACAAGGTCAATCGAAAATTGAAATGCTTCTTCAATAGTTCTCCCCTTAAACACCTTCTTCTGATGGCTGTCTAAAGCCTGTAGGACGAATCTCAACTTCTTATTCCTCTAGGACTGAGCTAGCTGTCCATAATCCTTTAGGTCACACCTTAAATGTATCCAAGAAACCCTCTCTGTCACCTTCTCTACCAGTTGGACACCAACCCTGGAACTCTAAATTGGGTGATCCCTCTATAAGCTTTTTCTTTTTAATTTTTAAAAATTTATTTGAGAGACAGTGAGTGCAAGTCGGGGAGAGGGGCAGAGGGAGAGACAGAGAGAATCTTAAGTAGGCTCCATGCTCAGTGCAGACCCCGATGTTGGGCTTAATCCCAGGATCCTGGAATCATGACCTGAGCTGAAATCAGGAGTCGAATGCTTAACTGACTGACTAAGCCACCCAGGTGCCCCAATCCAAACTGTGCTGCTACAGCACATTCTATCTCATTGGTCATTACACTGTAAGACTTTTTCTTTCTTTCTTTCTTTCTTTTTTTTCTTTCTTTTTTTTTTTTTTTTTTTTTTCGGGTCTGTATCTTACACTGAACTGAGCTCCTTGGGGGCAGGAAATGTCTCTACCTTGGTCATATTATATCACTAGTATGTGGCATATAGCACACAGTAGGCATTCAATAAATAATCATTATCTAAATAAATGAATGCATATGGGGAAAAAGTCCAAAGTCTTTTATAGGCTTGAGATTAATTCTAATAGCTCTCCTTTATTCTATTACTTTTTTATTTTACCTGAGAAGTCAAAAACTAATACCATAGTTTTAACATACTTGGACATTGTAAACATGACCTTAAGAGAAGGAATGTAGTTTCAGTGGTAAAAGGTACTGAAAATTGCCCCTCTGTGAATGTTAACTAACACAGAGATGATGTATATATGGAAATTTAATTTATATTTACATATGTATTATGAAATTTGAAGTTTTCTAATAGATGTTTGTTTTCCTTTTTTCAGGAGAAGACAATACTCTTTCCAGTCCTGGTAAGAATTAATATTTTCATTTTACTTATTTTATTATTTTGTTACGAAGTTTATATATTTAATGTTGATAGAGTTTTCTATTAGTGTCTAGTAAAATCATTTTACAAGGACAAGTGTTATAATTATGAATTATTTCTTGAATTGTGAAAATGTTTTTGACACTTTCTTGTTCTTAATATTCCTGCTTATACCATATAAATTTTGTTAACTACTTGAATATATTATTGTGTATAAGTTATAGCTTTTCTTAAACTTGACAATAAATTGCATAGCAGGATTCCAATCTCTTTTTAAATTTTAACATTGCAAATAATTCAAGTTAGGTCGCAAAACTTTATAGTCAAAAATTGGTTAAAGAATTATCTGAGAAATTAGAATTCTAAACATATTATATATGTATATATACAAATACATATATGTATATACATATATAAAAGAAAAGCTTTGAGAGTAGTAAGATATTTTATAATAATCATGTTCAAATTCTATTGTCACAATGGAATTAATAGTCTTAATGAGTATTCTAATCCTGAGACCAATTAAATTTAAACAATGAAAATGTTAAAAATAAATTCATACATATTATATGCAAAAATAAGAGAGAAACGTACATTTCATGTGGTTAAAAATAAGTTATATCACTTAAATGTTAGTGTTATGTAAAATGTATTACTGATTTCCTGATTCATTATACAGTTGAAGTATGCATTGAGAAGGTAAGTAAAGCCACTAAGACAATTCTGACTTAATCATTTTAATGCACAGTTCTAGTTAGGTACATTCAAAATGTTCTGCAAATTGAGTTATTAAAGGAATTATTTTTGTAAATAAATGAAAATTCATTCCAAACTATGGAAACCAGGAAGCATGTGAATGCTAACAAAATGCTTTTGAATCTGCATAAGAAGCACATTCTCTTATTTTTTAAAACATGTAATATTGAAATTTTACGGTTGGATAGTATGGTAGAGAAGCTTTATAAATACATGAAAGTCATTAAGGTATAGCAACTGTGATTGGTTTATGCCAGCTACTCTCATGCATTTTAGCATTTCCACCTTTTACAAATGAGTAAGTTCATTCCAACCATATAAACTGGTTATTGTTGCAGGAGGGGATTGGGAATGGGGTAGAATAGGGGTGAATGTTTAAAATGCTAGATGACTTACCACCTTCTTGAGAGAGTTTCCATTATCCTTGCACTGTTATAAAATGATGGATGACACATCCAAATGATGACATCAGGTAAGTCAAAATAGTGACCCCAAATGCTAATGAGAATGGCTTCCTGCAAATATCAACAAGAATGTGATCAGTGGAAACCAGTAGTATCTCCGAAGTGAAGAAGAAGGCCAATGTAGAATTGGCAATTGGAGCATTTTTTCTCATCCTGAATTAAAGTCTTATTTATTGAACCAGGGGATGTGCAGTGAGCTTAAGATGTGTGCAAGAATATTAAGGCTTCTATGTAGGAGGGTAGTTTTCTGAATACCGTTTTTTCATAGACCTTGGACTGAATTTACTTGATGATATATAATCTTTAGGAATGCTACTCTTCAACAAAGCATAACACTATTATGCGAGGTATTTGGAGTGGTTTTCCTTCTAGTCTTTTTGTAATTCAAATGTAAAAGATAAGTGGGAGTGGGTGATAAAGGGAAAATGTCACATTTCTCTCAGAGCACAGGGGATCATTGGAATCCTGCCAAAACCAAAGATAGGTTAACCTAAAAACAACAAACTAATAATTGTTCACGTCTATAATGATGGAAGTATATTAATGTTATTGCACATAATTTTAAGCTCCCTCCCCCTCTCCCTTTCATCTTCTCAATCTCTGTCCCTATCTTTCTTCTTCCTGTCTTTGCCTCCACCCTTGTCCCTTCTTTTATTCAACAAAGAGCAGGTGAGAGAATAAGTCAAGTAGGATTTAGGATTTTACACTGAAGACAGGAAGGGGTGACTTGCCTATCACTTTGCTAGATATGTTGACGTGTATCTCGGGTAGAGGTTTGTTAGTAAATATGTTGCTTTGTGTGTTATTAGGTTATGAAATTCTAGAGATTGAAAATTTTCATTGGAAAACAACCACTGTAACAAATGTACTGAAATTACTTTGGATTTCAGTAACCACAGAAGAGTTCTACATTATTTTATGTTCTTGTCATTGGGGCAGTTCAATAAGGCTTGGATGTATTTTATTTGTATTTAGTAAACACTGATTTCATTTTACCTTCAGCAATAATGAATGAAGCTAGGACTTCTCTGTGCCCTTTCTACTTCCATTTTCTTAATTCCCCATTCAGTAATCTTTTAATTTCAGTTCTTAAATCTTATCACTTCTAATCTTTTCCAGTTTCTCCCATTCTAGTTCCCCTCCCATTTTCTCTTACTCACTCTTGGGCCATTTTCTCTTACTCTTGTTGAACTGAATTGTTAAAGTACTTGGGTGCTATCATTTGTTGTTGTTGTTAATTAAACACTGAAAAACATAACATTTGACTATTCGTAGAAATGAATATATGTTAAACATAGAAAATCCAGAAAAAAAAAACCCACATCTTTATAACCTCAATATCCAGAGATCACAATGTGTTGGTTTTTTATTTTTTTTAACAATTTTGGTGTATTTCTCCCCATTCTTCTATAAAGAAATACACCTTCTGAGTAAGAGAACACAAAAAATTTAAAGGCCTTTAATACACAGTGCTAATGTGCCCTGCAGAAGCTTTTATCAGTTGTACGCCTCTATCAGCTACGGGTTCCCTATTCAGCACTACTTGTCACACTGTTATTTTTTCTTCTGAAGTGACTTGAAACCATGGAAAATGTTGTTGCAATATCTCAAATTGTGTTTCTTATATTATCACAAAGTTGAAACCATTTTGTAGACTTGGGCATTGTGTATCTGTTTGAGAATTTTGTTTCTCTGTCTTTTGTCCAATCTTTGCTTTGTTTTTGATTTGCTAAAAAGTAATCAGTGCAGGGGTGCCTGGTTGGCTCAGTCAGTAAAGCCTGCAACTCTTGATCTCGGGGTTGTAAGTTCAAGCCTCACTCACGTTGGGTACAGAGATCACTTAAAAATAAAATTGTAAAAAAAAAAATCAGTGTGTACCTAGAACTTTTATTTTTCATTTTTTGTTTTCCTAGAAACACTAGTCGTCTTAATAATTCCCTTTAAACTTTATCTTTCTCTAGTGCTCATTGATAAGTCTTTTTCTTTTCTTTTCTTTTCTTTTTTTTTTATAATTTCTGTTAATTGATTTTCTTTATGTGTGTGCTCCGTCCTTCTGAACCCAACTGCTTTGGACAGTTAAGAAACCAGCAATCCAAAGGGAAGAAGGCAGGGAATAGCTGCTTTCAACTTTATTTCCCCATTTATATCTTTAGCCACTATATCTAAGTCTATATACCTCTGTATGCATCTATCTATCTATCTATCTATGTGTATATATGTATATGTATTTGGTAAAATATACATACTACCACACTCCGTATATCATCTCTGTATGTTGTGTGTGCATTTACACACATATATGTATATATATTTATATACACACTGTAATGGACTGGGGAGTTAGTTAACTCAGATGAGTATATGTTGCAGGATATGATTCACGTATTTATTTTGTTTTCCTTTTTCCATCTCCCATGAATACAATAGGACTGAACTCAACAGAAAAGCCCAGTGTTCTGGCTCCAAGCGACCCCTTACCTGCCCGCACCACTGCACTCTCACTTACAAGCATCTCTGAAAGAGAATATAACTCCTCAGAGACCACGCCTACTCTTAGTCCAGACAATCCTTCAACTGAAGACTTCCTGAACTCTTTGGATAATGCTAATACTCTTAATGTGACAGGTCGGCACAGAGGTGTTAATTAACTGAAATGAGTTTAGGAGAACTTGTCTTCCTTTTTGAATCTGAAAGTTATCAGAACTGTTTTTCTTTAAAATACGTGTGCAGTTTCTACAAATGTGGTTTTATTCAAGCATGTAAAGTGTAGAACATCCAGGCGTTCATGCAATTTTGACTGACCAAAGTAGTGAAGGCAAGTTGTTGAGGAGCTGATGGACAGGGAGGGAGGGAAGCCCCAGCAAGTAAGGCTGATGGGGAGGGGGAGGGGAGTTTCTCCAGTAGCCACTGAACTGCATGTGCTGTGTCATCGCCACTGTTCTGCTCACTTGGGTTTTCTGCAGTGCCAGCCGGGTTAGAACTCAGTATTTCAGCGCTTTGTCAGTGTTGCCCTCCCTGGCTGTAATTCCAAAGTAGGATTTTTCTTTGTTGAACTCCACAATCTCAATACCAGAAATTACTGGAGATAAACAATTTATTTTTGAAAAACCACACCGAGGATCAATAATCCAGCTTTGCTGTTTGAATTTCCTCCAGGGATATTGGCATTAAAAAAATTAATCAAGGTTGTGGGTCTTAGGGCGGAATTGAAGGGAATGTGGCCACATTCATAACAGTGATGTGGGAGGTATTTTTTACCAGTGAAGACCACTGATGCTTTTCAGAATCCCAATAAATCTGTGGTTTGCTCATTCTATATTTGATGTTAGGTCTGCCAGGGTATTTGGCACATAAATCCACCATCATGAGGGTTGTTCATGCCTTTTCTGAAATAATGTGCTATGTTGTCATTTTCTGAGGCAAACAGGTTTATAGACATTAGAGACTAAGCTACTTGCTTAACAGTGCCATTAATCTTAGTTTGAAAAACAAGTATGTTCAACACTGTCTCAGAAGTTTGGTGGAGGGGTACATTGTCGTGTTTTGAATACCATATTGATGAAGTTTATTGGCCATAATAAGCAGTTAATTAAATGATAAATGCCTCCTTATGTTGATTACAGAACTGTAAATTCAATCTTTCCTCCATTTTCTCCTTCCACCTTAGCAGAGTAGTGGCTAGGATCTATCTAAACATTGCAGGCATTTGAATTCATTGCCCAAAATTTTAACAAAAAGAATGTGAGGATGAGGGTGTTAATGGTTAGGTAGAACATTCCAGGGTAAACTTTTTTACTGACTGAGTGATGTCACACAGTTTTCTATTTTAAAGTTTTCACATTTAGCTTCATGTACACAAACACACACACACATAATATTCTCTATGAAGCAAAATGTGAAGAGAAAATGTTTAAAATGGAAAAGATTGGAAATAAGGATGAATAATAGTAAAATACTAACTTGATGGTGAAATTAGCTTGGAAGGTTTCTTACACTTTCAAATAAAATAAGACATTTGATCTCCCTACAAAATAACTTTGCTCTCCGGTGATATTTCAATTCTCTACTGGGATAAAATCGTATGTGTTATTTAATTTATGTTCGCAATTGATTCGTATTGTGGAATACAATCCAATTTTCCTGCTTACCGATATACATAGGTTAAAAAAAATCCCTTAATCCATGCTTCTAACAGTATAATATTTTCAAGCGTTTTCAAAATTGTTCAAAAATCATTATAATAAGCATCTGTTTGCATAACATTAAACTTAATTATGTGATATTATTTTTACAAAAATATTTTATGCAGTTGCAAAATATCAATATAGAAGTATATATAAAGTACATACTTTATGCATATATATATACATATATATAAAGAATTTACACACATACACATTGAAAATACTATTTTCCCAAATCCTGATCCTTAAAGATACCATACCATTTTATCCGTGGCGGTATATCCTCCAGACTCTAGACATGTGATTCTCTGAGAGAATGTGGGTGTGTGAGCAACTGTTTCCCCACATCTTTTCCAATACTAGATATTATTAATCTTTCAAAACTCTGCCAGTATGAGAGTTAAGATATTTTATTTTAACATCAAAAAATTTCATAGTGATGAGCACTTTTGCCTACACTCTTTAGCCATTGCGTATATTAGATGTCTGTTACATGTCTTGTCCATTTTTCTATTTTTTCTTTTTTTTTTTTTACGATTTGCATATTGTATACTGAGGGATTCTTTACTGATTCTGCCTACGAAGAAACACCCCAACTTTCAGTTTGTAAAGTTGAAGGAGAATCCAAAAAGCTCACAGAGACTTGGAGGTTAAAAAAAAAAAAAAAAAAAGCCACCTGGAAACCTGAGTCATCTATGACTTCAACAGGACCCCAGGAAGCCTCTGGGAATATGTAAATGAAGAACTCTGGTGCCACCTTCCTGCCAGGCGAACTTAAATAGAGGCAGACACACATTTTAATAGATTGGGTCATTTCACGGTTTGGTAAACAAAGATGCTGATAACGTCCTAGTATTTAAATGTTTCATCTGCAGTAGGGAAATACTGAAACAATTTCACTTTCTTACCCTAGGAGTTACACAGCCGCCTACCTTCCCCACGCACGCAGACTCGCAGGCGCCCTCTGCCGGATCTGACACGCAGACACCTAGCAGCACTGCTACCCCTCCCGCACTCACCCCTGCTCCGGGGAAGAATGACACATCAGGTTTGCCGGGCTTTTAGATTTATGCATCTGTGGAGAGAGCCTGACAGCTGCCTGTGGTTAAGAGTGGTGTCAGGGAATCCAACCACTTGTTAAACGTATAGCACTCGCTGGTTGGTGAATTCGGTATTTCGTACTTTCATGTTTATCCTTAGTTTATGAGGACACCTACCTAAGGTCCTTCTAGTACAGATGAAATAATAAAGAATGAGACCTCGCAGAATAAAGGAAAAACCTGTTCCAGAATAAATGGTTACTCAGGGTGTTCTATACGTTTCTTCATATTGGGGCAAGACCCACTGCACAGTGAAAACTTTTGCTAATAATAAAGAATAGTATGTATGAAATGTTACCAATAGACTTCCAACCAATAAACAAAATCCTGAAGAGCAGATGATTTCCATTTTCAGTGAAAGCCACTAAGAAATTGTAACCACAGTTTGTTTTTTTAAAAGAATGGGAAAAAGGAAATAGATGCTTCATTTCCCCCATCCAAACATTAAGATTCAGCTTAGCATCTCTGTATGTATATAAAACAAAGCAAAATACCCCCTCCTTTATCTTTCCAAATCAGGGTCTAAGTCACTTCATGTTGACTTTTTTTTTTTTATCCTGAAAGACAAAAATCCACACAGACATATATAAAAATGTGATGGCTTCAATGCCTGAAAATAAAAAGATATAAATGGGAAAGCCCATGGAGCAGGCACTAAAGTGGCCTTTCTTGGAACATGAATCAAATATGGAAGTCCAACATATCAAATAGAATAATTATGAGGTATTAAAAGTCTTCCGTTGGCACAAAAATCATTACAGGCAATGCACAAACTTAAAGTGACCTGGGAAAGAGTTGCCCTCCCTTCCCTGCCTTGTTCTGCCCACTCCAGCTACCACGAGAACTACAGTAAGACGATCTGGAACTTTTAGCAAAGCCACAGATTCAGAAGTTACAGATGGGAAGAAGCTGTAAAATAACTGAAGAGGACTGGCCTGTAGGGGCTGGTTGTTGCAAAAACCACTCTATGTGTCCTCATGAAGAAATTCTTCCTCTCACGGTGGCTAATTCCACTAATTAAAAACTGATTAGGATTCATTAACCTGATGAAAATTGTAAAAGCAGGGGCTTTAGAACAGCATGAGGACAAGGGACTCTTAGGGGAGGCAAAGAGAACAAGCCTGTGAAAGAGAAGGAAAGAATGTGGAAGAAGGAGAAAGACAAACCCGCTGATTTAAAAAAAAAAATTTAATGTTTTTAAATTTTATTTGAGGTGGGGGAGGAGCAGAGACAGAGAGGGAGACCAGAATCCAGGCTCCAGGCTCTGAGCTGTCAGCACAGAGCCTGACCTTGGGCTGAACTCAGGAACCCCGAGAGCACAACCTGAGCTGAAGTTGGACTATTAACGAACTGAGCCACCCAGGCGCCCCAAACCCACTGATTTTTAAAGCTCAGCAGAGGGTCATTTCTGAGTCTATTTTTTTTTTTAAGAAGAAAAATTAAACCTTCCTACCCTTCTCTGTGTTGTGTTGGAGACTTTCTCTGGGGATCCAGAACTGCAGAACTGATACTTATGTTATTCATTCTACTCTATGGTTTACTTACATGCAGGGGAGGTAGTGGCTTTTGAAGACTGAGCTGAGAACCTAAACTCAAATTTTTGGAAGATGCCTTTTCATTGCTAATGGCTGTAGATGTGAAGTTACGGACTGTGCTCGGTTTGTAATTGGACGATGCCTGCATGCTTGTCCTGAAACCGCTTCCGGAATATGCATGCCTGTTTCATTCTTCCGAAACCCTGAGAATCTTACAAATGCAAGACTAATCTTGTATCATTGAACTGATAACCCCAGGGACCATGACAGGGAAATAACCAAACAAGCTCAAATAAAGGCTGGTTAGCATGTCCTTTGTTTTTGCCGCGACAACTACCGGAGTGCCAGTCCCCTAGTAGGCATCCAGTGAATACATACTGATTGCTTGTGTCGGAATTCTGGGTGTGATGTCTGCAGGAAGATGTAGCATGCCTTGGGTGCTTTGAAGCTTGGCAACAAGTCCTAACCAAATACGTCGTGCAGTTTCTTCAGCTACGACACCTAATTCTATACGTATTTGCTTAGGTTTGCTTGGAAAATAAGGAAATGGTGTCTGGATGATGCAGAAGTTCTTTGGTTCTAAACCAATTTGATTTTTTCCTGGCGAGGGCAATCAACATAGTGAAAGTAGAATTGTAACCTCCACCTGGAAAGGAAAACACCCTGAGCTCAGCAGCTGCAAAGGCAGAAGCCCATTCAGCTCTCATGTAAGAAAATTAGAGCTAGGCATCTGCATCCAGAAAGGCCTCCCCAGGGAGGTGCCCCCCAGGCAAGGTTTCCAGCACATGGCAGGTTGTGCTTCCTCTTCTTCCAACCTTCACACACCCTTTGCCACCCAGAGCTCCGCAAGCCAGCACCCCACTCTGTCGCTCGGGTGCATTTTCGCCATCACCTAAGGCATCCCTTGGTTGGAAAGCTTGGCCTCCCTGGCTTGTGCAAACCAGCTGTCTCCTCAGGTGCCAAATATTTTACAAGTGGTGCTCTGATTACAAAGCTGCCTAGGCGTTGAGTTGCACGATGTGAAACTTCTGCAGGCCTGGCTGGTTTTCATTCAGTTTTGCAGAACACAGACAGCTACGTGCTCAATTGTTGCTTGGCCTAAGCCTCGATGCTCTGTTTACGCTGAATGTCTGGCCATTGCCCTTCTGTGGCGAAAATGGATGACCGTGATGATGGCCTTTCTGATTGCAGGTTTTCCAGGAGAGACGATTCCACCCAGCACCTTCCCTGCAGACACAGCTTTCACACCAGTAGCGACCCTCAGCCCCGCACTCAGCAGCTCTGCTGCCCTACCCTCACTCATCTCCAGCATCACCACCAAAGATAACTCCTCAGGTTTGCCCGCGGTGCTCTAGGGGTTTTGAGTTGTGGGTAATGAACTGGAAATTTGAGACTTGAATGCAGTTCTTTTACGTATTTCATACCAAATATTATTTGCAGCGACGTTTCACATACTGATATCAAATGAGCCAAAATAAACTTGCCAGTAAGCTTTGTTTCTGGGCGTGCTTCGTTTTGTTATTCATATCATAAAAGTTCAGGTTATAGCTCTGGGGTCCAATCCAGTCCGGTTAACTTTCTGGCTGACTTTAGCACAAGCTACTAATAGTTTTTGTGTGATGCTTTTCCCTTCTGTAAAAATAGATATTGTAATATTCATTTTAGGGGATGGATGTGAGGACCAAATATGTAAAATGCCTGGGAAGCAGTGAGTATTTAAAAAGAATAAGTGGGATCCTTATTAGTAATTAAAATAAGGAAGTTATTGAAGGAGAAAGGAGTAGTTTGAGGAAGATTGCACATCAGGTAAGAATTACACCAAAGAAAGAACAGTTTCTCTCAACTTACTGAATGTCAAGCTCTAATTATTGGAACTATTGGTTATCTTAAAGGGCCATTGGTAGATAGATAAGGTTTTGGCTCACTTTCCTGTTTTGACAAGGAGCAAGTGTCAAGTCCAGTGATTCAGCTAGGAGAGAAAGAAAGTATCGTTGCTAAAGAGTTTTTCCCTTGCCCTTCATTATGACAAACTCATTAACTTTTATTCTCTGTTCATTTCCTTGCAGATCAGAGTCTTACGTCCACGCCACCCGCAACAAGCATTATGACTGCTTCCGCAACAGGTGACAATCTTACCCTCAGCCATGCAGTCATACTACTACCATGTACCTGGGATGTGCTCGTAGAAGGGTCTTCCATTTGCTCTCTCGGGGGGCGCTTTTTTTGAGAAGTTCAATTGAGTATTCGAATGATGGGGACTGTGGAATGGCAGTTAGTCTTAAAACACATATTTTAGGGACGCCTGGGTGGCTCAGTCGGTTAAGCGTCTGACTTCGGCTCAGGTCATGATCTCACGGTCTGTGAGTTCGAGCCCTGTGTCAGGCTCTGTGCTGACAGCTCAGAGCCTGGAGCCTGTTTCAGATTCTGTGTCTCCCTCTCTCTCTGCCCCTCCCCTGTTCACACTCTGTCTCTCTCTGTCTCAAAAATAAATAAACGTTAAAAAAATTAAAAAACAAAACAAAAAAAAACCCCACATATTTTAGCTGTGCAATAGCTGGTGAGATCAGGGCATAATGTTACTGTGATATCTTTTCATATCATTATGACATCCCCCAAGGGTTGTGTGCTTTATGCAAAGGCATAGAAAAACGATCAAAAATACTATGACTTCTTTCTCTAAGAGTGGGCTTAGGTATTAGCATGAAAAAGAACAAGTCTATCCACAGGACTCCCCATTCCAAGTGGCGAACAGCAGAGGATTGAGTGCAGAGCTCCAGTCATGTGGCATGGACCATGCAAGCAAAGGCAAGAGATCTGAACGGACCCAGCAATTGGCGGTGGCAGTCAATGGGCTGGCCATGGCAGAGCGGGCAAGCCCATGGTCCTCTCCCAAATTCTTCCAACTCAAAGACCGGGTTGGCAGGATCTCTTGGCACATTTCCACCCATTCTTCAGTTAAATACAAATATGCTTCCCCCACGATGTGTTTCAATTTGTTGAAAGAGCCATTCACTACGCTGGATCCACTATAGGTGCAAAGAACTTACACAAGTTAAACCAGAGAGTGAAGCCGCCTTTGCCTATTTTCTGATTTTTTTTTTCAACAAACGTGTCAACTGAACTCTCTAGGGGTTATAATGATATAAATCTATTTTGAGAGTAATCAAGGGGAGGAGTACCTTTACATGTTTTTAGGTACATGAATGGTTAGTCAAGTCACCATGCCATAATCAAATGTGTGCTGGAAAAAACCTCAACATTATTATTATTATTATTATCATTATTACCATCATGTTTATTGGGTTAAACTCATGAAAATGTCTTACAGAACTAGCTCATTAGTTTATAACATTTGAAGTTTTGAGATTAAAGCATTATACCAAGCACTGTGTTGTACATTGTACAAAACCTTGTGTTCTATGTTAAAACTAACTCACAGACCTTCCAATTTATGAAGTTGAAAACATTGTAAACCTCCTCACCCCAAATGACCATAGATAGCAGAGATGTTGTAAATGAAATTTTAATAATTTGCTTTCTCTCTTTTTTTTCTATTACAGTTCCTACTACACCTAAGCAATCATGTGGTAAGTTTGTTAATTTGGAGGCAGCACATATCACTTTAGAATGGCATTTTCCTTATCTGCTTCTTCATTCCAACCCCCAGGAGCCACTAACAAGCTAGACTCACTGGCTCCCCTTTCCCCGCAATGGTTAGCTCCAAATCTTAAGAGCCTGTGTCCTTCAGAGGCAAGAAACTTTGATGTCATATTCAGACATAAGTTTTGAGCACCAGAATTAATAATTACTAGCTAAACAACTTTGGTGAAGCCACTTAACTTCAGATTTAGTGTGTGTGAAGTGGAAAATACCAAACTTGCTTTGGGGTGGCAGGAGTTAAGGATGCGTTGTAACAATAAATGTGAAATGTGGAGAATGTCTTGAAGGCTTATCAAGTAAAAGAATCTGTTTTTGTCTCTGTCTCTCTGTCCTTCTGTCTTGCCAGGGTTTGGCTCAAAGCAGATGTTTGAGAACAGCTTGTACAACCCTCTTTGCACGTTCCGTTCCTACTCTCTTCCCAGTGAAAGTAGTCTTTCGTGGTCAGGGCTTAACCCTCTGCACATTGCTGAATCTCACCACCGAAGTCTCTGCCTTCAGTAGCTGTCCATCCGTTATAATGTAAAGATCAGCCTTCATATGTTTGCTTAATTAATATGGTCTTTTATGATCATATTCCTCTTGTGTTATTGCCTCTTGATGCTCTTCACTTAACTAATATGAAATTACTTACAGTTTCCTAAACACATAATGTTTACATCATGCGTCCGTGTTCTCTCCTCCTCTTCCTCTCCACTTAGAATTCCTCTCTATCCTCATCCAGCACCCCTGTTCCCACCATCTATTTTTCTATGTCCTGCTCATATTTCCAAATACAAACTGAGTCACCCACCTCCTCTGAGAGCCTCTCCTATCCTTACACTCTGACTAGATTTCTCACTACTTTCCTCCCTTATTATTTTGTACACATTCTTATTTTAGGGGTTTGCTCGTCTGCAGCCACCCGTCTATGTCGGTCTCCACATTAGACTCTACATTTCTAAAAGCTGATGGTTTGTATTCTTAGTGCTTGGGGCAGTGTCTCAAACATAATAAGGGCTTAATAATGTTCATTGGGTTGAAAGTGAGGGACAAATTAGTATTTGTTGAAAAGATATTTTTTACCATTCAACAATGTTTTTTAAAGAAAGAAGGGAATGCAACATAGCGCTAAGGAGAGGTACTTAGGAGGGTTCGTTATCAATAATTCTACCTAGGTAAAGGAATAATGAGGCCTGTGCCCCCTGAATTAATGTTCCACAAATTTGGAGAAACAGGTAATCAACAACTGCATTTTAGGAAGTAAGGGAAATGATAAAGCAAGAAGAAATTCATCAGATGTTTCATTCGTGTATCATTTCAACCAGTAATTCAAGCAAGTGTGCCCCTGCTAATGACAGGTTTTATGTAATGACTTGGGTTTATGGTGGTGTTCAAAATACACTGGCCTTTGCTGTCATAAAACATATAGTCGAGTTAGGGAGATAAGACATTAATCTATTAATCATCCAAGTATAAACTTAAAAGCTGAGGTCCTTGATAGGCAGTCGATGTAAAGGGAATTTTGAAAAAATAATCATGGACACACCTGATGTGTTTTTTCTTTTTTTTTTTTTATGTTTCTGGGGACACTTTGTTAGATATTTGATACTTTTGAAAATCTATGTTAAAGCGCTTGCAATTGATGTAAGCTTATTCTGAAAAATTTTTAAAAAGGGAATCCACATTTTTATTTTCTTTCAGATGAGAAATATAAAGTTATCAGTGTGAAATATCGTTATGACTATGGAAATAATTCATTTATAGCAAAACTAAATGTTAGCGATGATGTGAAGTGTGAAAATGCCATATGTAAAATGAATGAGATCCATAACCTACCAGCATGTGAAAATAAGAATGTTACTATCAGTCATACTTCTTGTGATCCTCCAAATAAAATTATAGAATTGGACGTACCACCAGGTAAGTTTAAATTGGTTTCTATTTGTATATTTACAAAAGAATACAAATCCACGTGTTTTTCATTCTAGTGGATGAAGGAATCTGGTAAATGAACAGGGGTGAGGGGAAAGATGTCAGCTGGACGCTAGTGGGCGAACCTTCTGTTCTTCTAACCCAGTGAAATTAGGAGTTCATAAGCCTTCTTTACCCCTTACTCCCTCCCTATACTCCTTTTACAGAGTGTTTCAAGTAGATTAGGTACGACTTATCCCACTGTGGATAAGTGATTACCTATAAGCTTTCTTCCCCCTCCGTACTTAGTTCAAGTCATTAAATATAGATGTGCACATATTTATTCTTCTAGGTACAAGTGTGTCTGGAGTATATTGGGGTAAACCCCAAAGTCAAGGATTTGATGTTTGTGGAAAGAACAAAACTACGTTCACACACAAAAAAAGAGAGTTATAATCATGTTAAGGTGATCAAGCCACTTCTGCCGGCTCACCTACTGCTGAGAAGGGGAAGGGGTTAAGGGTATCAAGCCCCCTACACTGAAGAATATAACAAAATGCATTTTGGAAAAGGGATTCAGGAACTGTGTACATTTGTCTACTCTTTCACATCACATAATAATTCAAGAACACATTTAAATAGATTGAAGTTTGCTTCCGTATCTTGGCTATTGCAAATAATTCTGCTTTAAACATAGGGATGCATGTATCCCTTTGAATTAATGTTCTTGTACTGTTTGGGGAAATATCCATCCGGGAGATTGCTGGATTATAAAGTAGTTTTATCGTTAACTTTTTGAGGAAGGGTCATACTGTTTTCCACAATGTTTGCATCTCTACCAACAGTGCGTGAGGGGTCCTTTTTCTCCACCAACACCTGTTGTTTTTTGGGTTGTTGATTTTAGCCATTCTGATGGTGTGAGATGATAGCTCTTGTAGTTTTGATTCACATTTCCCTGATGATAAGTGATGATGAGCATCTTTTCATGTGTCTGTTGGCCATCTGCCTGTTTTCTTTGGATAAATGTCTGTTAAAGTGTTCTGCCCCTTTTTAAACTGGATTATTTGTGTTTGGGGTGTTGATTTGTATAAGTTCTCTATATATTTTGGATACTAACCCTTCATCAGATATGTCATTTGCAACGGCATGGATACAGCTAGAGGGCATAAAGTGAAATGAAACAGTTAAATACCATATGACTTCACTCACATGTGGAATTTGAGAAACAAAATGAACAAAGGGAAAAATAAGAGAGAGAGAGGGAGAGAACAAGAAACAGACTCTTAGCAATAAAGAACAAACTAAAGGCTAGCAGAGTGGAAGGGGATGGGGAGATGGGTTGAAGAGGTGGTTAGGGATTAAGGACTTCACTTGTGTTGAGCACAGGGTGATGTATGGAAGTGTTGAACTACTATATTATACACTTGAAACTAATACTACACTGTACGTTAACTAACTGGAATGAAAAGTTTAAAAAGTAGGCTAAATTTTGGTATTTTCGGAAAAATGTCATGTAACTTATTCATTTTCTCCAAATATTACTGAAATAAATTATCATTTAGAAACAGAAAATGACAATTTACAAAACGTATTCTCCAAGACAGGACCCCCATACTCTAATAATCATTTAATAAAAAAAATCACAGAGTAAATTAAAAAGTGGAAGATATAAGTAAGAACAAATGAAGTGAGTGTTTTAAAATGTGCAAAAAAATGCAATTTCATCTAGAAATTTGCTTGGGTCCCATTTTTCAAAGGTAAGATAAATTCTAAATAAAATGCTGCCAATTAAATGCTTTCCAAAATGTGTGATGTTAAAAAAAGAATAAGCTATATAATTGAGGCATGTTAAACCCCGAGTTATTGGAGTTTTTCAAAACTTTCAAAACTAAATGCTCTCAAAGACTATATCACGAATATAGTTTCAGAGACTTTAATTGAACACATGGCACACATTATGAGTCATTAATCATCTGTTTCTATATCTTCTTTTTGACAGATCCTGAAAGTTTTTATTTGAAAACTTGTACAGAGCCAACAAAAGCAAATATTTCTATTTGTTTAAGACTGGAAAAAAAGGAAAACTTTACTTGTGATGAAAAAAAGATTACACACGTACTTAATTGTGGTAAGAATATAGCTTTGATTGGAATATTTTTATGGTAGAAAGTTGTTCTAGATATTTTCTATTCTTTCTTTCCTTCCTTCCTTCCTTCCTTCCTTCCCTCCCTCCCTTCCTCTTGCTTTCCTTCCTTCTTTCTCTCCCTCTCTCTCTCCTCTTCCCCCCACTCTTCCCCTTCCCCTACCTTCCTTCACCCCCTTTTGGTCTATGGTTTTATGGAGTCAAAAAATTGTATTGTCTATACTACTCAAATTCACAAAATAGACAAATACTTTCCCCAAAATAAACTTTGAAATAGCAAAAGTCAATTAATTTATAAGAATTTTCTTGGCAACTGTTATACATAAGGCATTGTTGAAAAGGTTATCAGGGAAGGGTGCCATAGAAAACATATGACACACATACTGTTAGAATAAAAAGAAAAGCAAACGTAAGATCATGTGACTCAAGAGTTTATGTATGTGGTCAACCCTCCATTAACAAAATTCATGGACAATCTCAAGAACATTTACATGAAAGAAAAGTGGGAAAAACACAATCAGTGCCTCTAGGAATATGGGTTTGGGCTTATATGGGGGACAATAATTGAGATACTAGTTCTTTTTAATAATTAATGAATTAATGTTTTTTTCTTTTTATTTGAATTTGTTAAAGTAGAAACTCTCCCTTGATGTAAAGCCATTTGCTAAGCCGTATTTGGCAAGGCAAACAGACACACACACGCACACACACACACTACACAAAGGATGAAGTGTGACACTGATTGCAATCATCATGTTGTAAAGAAGCTTCATAGCTACGATACAAGCGGTATGAGGAAAGCAAGAACAGATTTATAGTGAAATGATGATAAAGTAATGGTGTACTTAAAATATCTATTAGGCAAAGGCTAACTCAGGTGGATTCTTAGTTTCTGAACAGAGAACTCATTCCATCAGTGAAATTAGAGACACTCTCAAATTCAGTTAGACTTTTTAATATTTTCTTTAAAATCGAGTGTGGTGTACTTATCTGGCAGGGGAGATACCACGATCATGAAGGTGGTTTTCCCAGGGTGAGTTTTATCCATTGCACTCCAGATGCACTGACCCCTGCATCTTCCTCAAATGTGGGTAACTCGTATGCATAATTTGTGGTAGTGGGGGACTGAGTTTGCGCTTTCCTCTGGGAAAAAAAATTGAGTGTGGCAAAATCATGCATTATTATAGTAGTTTTTAGTATCTTTTACTTATTTCCTATTTGCTAAAGTTTTCAATCTAATAGATATTTATTATAGATATGAAATCTAAAGAGAGAGTTAAATATGATTATTGTATTCGTACATGTACTGATACATGATACTTATTTCTTTCAGCTAACTTTTCTTCATCTAATGAGACCGAAACTTATTTGGAACCCCTTTCACCTAAACAAAATTATTCCTGTAATTTAAAAGTATTGTATGGTGCCAATGAGTTTTTGAACAAAAACGAAAGCTTTGAAACAGATGTTGGAAGTGAGTATATCACTTACATGTACATGTAAAATTTCTTCTTATGGTCTTACAATTCTTTGAGAATCAAAGAAAATGATGTTGTAGATTTGGAGAAAGGGTTTCAGAAAATGGATATGTATCAATTTTTAAAGTAGAATTTCAAAAATGGATGATAGAAGATCCAAACCTTTGACAAGTTTTTTGTTTGTTTGGTTTGGTTGTTTTGTTTTTTAAACTGCAAATTCTAGGCCATCATGAGCTTATGGTGGAAACAAAACTGAGGTACATGAAATGGTTTGTTCACTTACTTCCCATTTCTTCCTGCAGCCAAGTTCCTTTCTTGGCGCATCCTGCACCCTCTGCCCCTCTAGCAAACGCTGCCTTTGATAGAAGTGGGCACATGGCTATGAAAACACAGTGGCGCATCTAAGGATTGGTGGTGATATGCTAATTAGTGTTACTAAAATGCAAGCAATATAAATAATAACAAGACTATAATAGCTAATGACAATTAGAAAGATCCATTTTGGAAAATAATAGCTTTTGGGAGATGGGGGGCGGGGGCAGAAAGGAAGTCCTAAAATTCCACTCTTATTCAGTGGAAGGAGGGAGATTCCAGTCTAGAGTCTGCTAGGAAAAGTATGTTAATTATGTGTATGACAATTTATGAGTAACCACCAAAGAAAGAAGGGCAGAGAGAGGAGGAATGCAAGGCAGTACAGCCACTTTGGAAGATGTTTTGGTGGTTTCGACAGAACGAAACATACTCTTACCTTACAATCTAGCCATCACACTCCTTGGTACTTACTCAAATACTTATGTCAAATACTTACTTGGTACTTATGTCCACACAAAAACCTGCACAGGCATGTTTATGGCACCTTTATTCATAATTTTTCCCAAACTTGGAGGCAACCAAGATGTCCTTCAGTAGGTGGGTGGACAGTACAACCAGACAACTGGAATATTATTGAGCACTAAAAAGAAATGAGCTATCAACCCATGAAAAGACACGAAGGAACTTTAAATGCTAATTACTAAGTGAAAGGAAGACAATCTGGAAAAGCTACATACTGTATGCGTCCAACTATATGATATTCTGAAAAAGCCAAACTATGGAAGCAGTTAAAAGATCAGTGGCTGCCAGGACGAGGTGGGAGGGTGAAATAAATAGAGCACAGAAGATCTGGGGGACAATAAAAACACTTTGTATGGTACCATAATTATGGCTACATGTCATAAGATACGTTTTCTCAAACCTGTAGAATACATGACATAAAGAGTGAGCCCTAAGATGAACTATAGACTCTAGCAGATAATGATGTGTCAGTGTAGGTTCATCACTTGTAAACCCTGGTGGGGGACGCTGGTAATGAGGGTGCTATGCATGGGCAAAGGCAGGGGAATATGAGAAATCTCTCTACCTTCCCCTCAATTTTGCTGTGAACCTAAAAATGCTCTAAAGAAGTAAGTCTTTAATAATCATAATCATAATCATAAATCATGAAATAAGATTTATCCCAATAATGTAAGAATCCGTCAACCTTAGAAAATAGCAATTAAACCATTTTACATACCATTTACTTCAGGAAAGGGGGAATTTTTGCAAGACCATTGCAACAGAAGTTACATTCTTTTTTTTGTTTAATGTTTATTTATTTTTGAGAGAGAGACAGAGACAGGGCATGAGCAGGGGTGGGGGGACACAGAAAGACAGGGAGACACAGAATCTGAAACAGGCTCCAGACTCTGAGCTGTCAGCACAGAGCCCGACACAGGGCTTGAACCCACGAACCGTGAGATCATGACATGAACCGAAGTTGGACGCTCAAAACAGCTGAGCCACCCAGGTGCCTCAAGAAGCTACATTCTTTTTATTTATTTATTTATTTATTTATTTATTTATATATGAAATTTATTGTCAAATTGGTTTCCATACAACACCCAGTGCTCATCCCAAAAGGTGCCCTCCTCAATACCCATCACCCACCCTCTCCTCCCTCCCACCCCCCATCAACCCT